TCTCACAAAAAGATGGCCACTAAATTGTATAGTGCCGGACATTTTTATTTTTTATTTACAATGAAAGTGTTCTTAAATTAACTTTTACATAAATCTCAATTAATTTTTCTTTAGACTATTTTAAAAGAGCACCCCGCATCAATGTTTGAGAAAATTAATTTTATTAAATACTATTCTCAAATTTTGAGCAGCAGCTAAAACCGTGTTGTCATAAAAGGTTTAAATATCTCATGTACACTCCAATAAATGTACGCAGTTTATTTTGATGGATGAAAAAATGAAAATGGATTACATTTATGATGTGCAAAATTTTTCCCCAGTTGGTAAGGTAGCATGTAATCATCTCTTAAGTCAGTTTTGCAGTCATCTCCCCACCTTGAGTCAGAGCTCTGAGACGACCAAGTCATCTTGAAACAATATAATCGATAGCCACGAAATAACTTCCAACAATCGCAAACGAAGCAATCCCACTGCGTGCCGTCCGCAGCCAAATGCCACGGAACAAGAGATTTCTATCTGCAGGGTGGATTCCTGTTAGTCTTTCAAACCAGTTCCCTGGTCTTCTCCATTTCAGAAGCTTTCTCTCCATTAAAATATACTGCAAGGAAATAAAAGCCAATCAGCATACATAAATTAACTCAGAACATGGTTAACCAAATACTAAGCTCAAGTCTCAAACTACTTAAGAAATGCCAAAAAAGGAGGTAAACCCACATAACTGTTTTATCCGTTACATAAGACCACAGACCAGAGGTAAAAGTTCAGAGTAAATACATGCTGGTTCAAATATCTCCAACTTGTACCCCATCTTGTTAGGATGAGGAACCTACACCTTACCAATTGGGCTACAAGAACAAGTGTTACAGCTGGTACACGACGAGAGAAAACCAATTATAAAAGAAAAGCATCGTGTGCTAAGCCAACAGTTTAGTAAGACCTATTACTTAACCATGGTATTTGAAAAAAATATGTACTTTTTTTGTTTATGTAATAACCTGATAAAGAAAAAGGCAAAACCGTTCTGTTAAGTTGACATCTTAGCTAATATTTTTAGTATATAACTAAAAGCAAAATAAACTTTCTTGTAACTGGCATACCTTGGGCAGCACAATGCACTGTGACCGAGTTTTAGCAGTGTCAAACCCATGAGATGCAGCAGCAGCAACCGAACCTGAAAACCCAGCTGTAAGACTAATGGCTAGAGGAGAGAGTGGACCAATTTCATCATCAGACCTGAAGGGAAAGCAGTAAAATAATCCCCAGTTAGCCATAGAAGCTAGTAACCTAATAAGTAAAGTCTTTTCAAGAGAGCAAGCAGCATGAATTCACAGTTGATAGATTAACACAATCATACACAAGAATACTACCAGTCAAATGAGAAAAACAGTGGACTAAACAACTAATTTAACAGAATAAACTAAAAGTTTCAGCATCCAAATTTCTTTGCAGCAGAATGGGTGAAAAATAAAGAAGGAACATCACATTGGTAGGGGATCCATTCCAGCTGCCTTCCAGCCAAGCATTACTCGGTGTAGAAACTGCCAAGTGGAAAAGAACATGCCACCAAAAATTGAATCTCGAATGACTCCTGAACGTAAACCTCTCCAAAATGCACCCCAGCCTTCCAAAGAGACAATGTCAGATAGCCTCCGCACTTCATAAACTGAAGGAGGTTTCCCAGATCCAGTCATCATCCAAGGATGCTCTAGTAAGGCACCAGCAAGATTAGGATGTTTGCTGTTTAATACAGATAAAAGACCCACAGATTGATTCAATGCCTTCAGATCCAGAGTATATCCAGGTAGAAATTTTGCAATTACTGGCACAACAGCTTTACTTTCTGTAACCGGAGCTCTGACTGGAATGCGGGAGGCAGAGGTTACCTGTGCACGAAGTTTAACAAGTTCAAATGGAGAGCTTATCAGTGACTCCACAGCACCAGCTGCCATCCCAGCCATAAGGGCCTCAGAGACATAGGCATAATTGTCTTCTCGACCATCTGCAGAAATAGACAAAAACTGGATTTAACAATGTGGAAGAAGCATGAAGATACTGGAGAGTAAAGAGTATTGATTTTAACAAATTGTTCTTACTGCTAAATGCTATAGACACAAAAATATGCAATCACTCTGAGGTTGCACATATAGGATCTATAAATTTCAGTCTCATTCCAATTCTACCACCCTAAATTCATTACTAGTTCCAGAAAATTGAAACCATACACACAGGTTTTTCAGACAAGACTAAACTGGAAGAATGAAGAATCCCTTGAGGAAATTGGAAAAAAAGAAAAAGAAAAAGAAAAAGAAAACAAAACAAATCGAGCAAACTGAAATGAAAAGAATACCCTTATAGAAGGCTGTCAAAACTTCATAGATTCCAAAACGAGCTCCCAAACCAAATATTCTCCCACAGGCTAACCAATTAAAACCACTGTATAAACCTGGATTGTTCAAGAACGAGCAAAATCACATTAAACAGATAAAGAATTATGATACCAAGTTACCAGCCATTCAAACCATTTTGGTTGAATCTAAGAGGGAAAGCTTCTCTAAATGACAGCCTTCTTGTTGAGGACTAACCTGAATTTCCTGATAAAACTTGAACTTTGTTTAGAATCTGAAATGCAGTTAATTTTGAGCTGGAACCTGAACTAACCTGTTCACCCCAAAGTTAAGAACACATAAATTTTAACACCCCAAAAAAAAAAAAAAAAAAAAGGCAGAACAGAAACATACGGCTTTATGACTGCCTGTCACTTCATTTTCCTTTTTCTTTTTTAAAACATACTCATGAGTCATAACTACGAAAGGTCTAGTAAAGAAATTATGGCAATTCATAATTAATAAAACTGAATGAGGGTGTTGATTCTTGAAACTGTCAAGAGGGAAATCAAACAAACCTGAATAAGGGTTTTAATGGTGTCAAGGGGGTAAGTAAAAGCAGTGCCTAAAGTCACAGACCCCGCAGCAGCAATTGCATGTGTTGCAAAGAGGTGATTCTGAAGCAAGTCATCCATCTGAATCTGAAACAAGGGAAACGATGCCCATGTATGTTAATCGTCAAAACTATTTATTCTCACAGCCAACATTCTGCATATACGGCGTGAATTTGTTTTGGTGAAATGCACGCCACCTGTTTGATGAAATGCGTACTAAGATTGAAAAACTAGTAAGAGATAGAAATTCAAATCTGGAATGAAAGCATAGAGACACAATCCAAAAAACAATCTGGAATGATATCAAACAACTTACACCTGACCTGGTATTGAAATAAACTTGGTGTTTGTGTGTGAAAGAGGCAGAGATGGATGGAGAAAGATGGCTTCTTGGACTACAATGACTGACATTTATACTGCATAGATGACATCAATTACTTCAAAATACGGAAAAAGTGTCCATCAATGAAACACCCAAAACGAAACAGTTTCAGTTCATTTTGTTTATCTTCTCACTAGTCATTAACAGTCTGAAGTCATTAACAGTCTGAAAATTTCACCTCAGAACCAAAATTCTCAGCTAAGAAAGGATACTCGTAATATTTACGATACTTATACCTCAAAACCATAATTTGATGATTAACCCATGTATTACCTGTTGCAAGTGAATGTGTTTATCAACTATCAACCACCACCATTAGCTTGTTGGCATGCATAAATGCTGGGACTTAAGGCGGAGAAGCATCTAATAAATGGTGAGAGCAGGTGAAGTTGGGTCTTAAAATCAAAGAAGGAGATACAAATGGTGTGGCTGCCACTGCTTCCAGGTGAAGTTGAGTCTGGGAGAGGGAGACGGCAGCTTAAACGGAGTGAATCGAGGAAGAGAAAGACAGTCCCCTAGTATTGAACAGGTCGAGGAGTTTTGGTCTGAGAAACAAAAACGGCGCCGTATATTGCTGGTGGGAAAATGCTCACAATCTTTTAATGAGAGAAAAAAAAAGATGGACTGCTTGATATTTTCTGTAAAATTATTTAAGTAATACATTAAACATATTTAAATAACTTAAGCAATGACTTATTAATTCCAATAGAAATAATTTAATTTCTTTAAAATAAAATTTCAAATTCAAATCTTTTAAATGATTGGATTCAATATGGTTGACAAATTGAATTAATTGTTTTTCTACTCGTTAACAAAACCATGCCCACCAATTATTTTGAAAAATACAATTGACTTTGTATATAATTTTGACAAATAAATAAATATCTAAAAATACATAAAATTCTTCCCAGGCAGACCTCTATCTCCTCTCCAACTATCCCACTCACGTTATTGCCTATGATATGTTACCGGCTCTGCTTCTGGTGGCACACAACCAGAGTCTTGGAGTCTCAAGGTCGTCACCAGTGATTGTTGGCACATGCCAACTACCACATTCTGACTCCTGCATTTGAATCAATGGAATTCGAGTCAAAATTGCAAGGAACTTATTCAAAAGTTGAGAGGTATTTAGTTGTCACATATAGTTGAGGTTATTAGATGCAGAAAAAGGCTTGTGATCTTTACCTGAATAACATTAGAATAGGGAGGTGGCATGAGTAGTTCAAGTCCTTTTCCTGAGACAGATAACCGAACCTGCAGATTATCAACAAAAAAAACAAACTTAACACCTTTTGTTTTCGAATTAAGCACTCTTATATGATGCATGGATCTGTTACTGAAAATTTCTGATTTCCATCCTCTGTAATTCATATTTGAGAGAAAAGCAACAGTGCAGATGGGTTCAAGGGTATACAAAACAGAATCTACAGCTAAAACCATTCAAATAGCAGATATATTTATATGCTTCTAAAGCAACCCAGATCTTTCACTATTTATTAGGCAATGGCTTCCATTGCACAAGATCAGAGCATAAAAAGAGAAATGGAAGTCGGCTTATGCATGGCTAGGCTTTAATCCTTCCATGGATCAAACATTTTCTGCTAAACTAATCCTTTGAGCCAGCCGTTGCTCTATGCTTGGTCAAAGGATTAGTTTAGCTGAAAACATTTGATCCATAGAAGGAATGAAGGATGCAAGAAAAACTCCTTAAAATGAAAAATCAACAACCAAATATGTTTGCAAAGTTGCAAGTAGCTAAGAAGAAGCTTGGAGGATAAGATGGGGAAGAATGTTGAGTTTGTATAAGATGGATTCTAAATAGCCAACAGAGCTACAGCATTATTTTTATATCAAATTCCAGATGATAAGCAAAAATGTTCCTGTCATCATTAAAATTTACACCATGCTGCTCTTTGCAAGAAATAATTTGTATCTCAGCTGTTCCAGGCAGAGTCATCCACATAAACATAAGAAAAGCTAGATCATGGTGCAGCTAAAGTAAAATAAGGTAAGTAAAAATAAAACTATAGAAGCAATTCATGACAATAGAGAAATTACCTGATGCTTTTCCTTCCACCTTGGGAAAAAGGAAGTCCCAAGTAACTGGAACAAGTGGTCTCTCATCTCATCATTAGAGACTAACAAACACTTATTACTAACAGCAGCATATAGCCAGTACCTGATAGTAAACATTGAAGCATATTTTTAAGGAAAGAAGAATAATGAAGTGGATAATCATATGGCTATAAATGTCATAATAATACAGAAAAACTAAATTGCCACTTTCTAACATAGCCTTTTCTCTTTTTAAGATTCTTAGTTTAAGAGAATGCAGTAAATCAGAATTCGCTCTTCACTCACTTGACAAAGTAGAATTCTAAATGAATAAACTAAAAGGCAGGAAGTAAAGAGAAAGCCTAACGTGATTTCAAAAGCAACAGATCAATGTTAAAAATAAAATGACAGCTCAGTTATGAGGTGCAGTTCATAAATGTTAAGAGTATTATAATCAAATATATGTAAACATATGAAGAAATGAATGGCAATCAAGATTCAAGAGTTTTTTTTCTTACAAATTTTAATAGCTAACTATGAATTGAAAGATAAAGATAAAGACCTTGAATTGAAATGTCTTAAATGATGTAAATATAGTGTTAGGTGATTAGACACAACCCATTAATAGGTATGAGACGAGAACTTACCAATCATCATTTGAACCAAAAGGAGTAGCATAAAGTGCGCCGGACTTTTTCCAACTCTCTAACAACTTCATATTATTAGGGTCCCGAGCAGGGCCGCCAGTGACACGATTTCTATGCAAAATAACAAGTGGCAATCTTTTTGATGGACTCATTTGATGTAATTTATTTACAACATCTTTAAGCTACAAGCAAACAACCATTAAGCAGATTATTTACAACCCTTGCTTTTCCAAATCGGAAAGATATAATCTGATAAAGCCCATTTCTAATTCCACTGACCTGGCGAAAGTTGAAATAATGCAGATTGATAAGACCCACATTGGCACCATCTACCACTGCATCAAATGGACCATGCTGCTGTAGCCACTCCTGAATTTGTTCACCTTTAAAATTAGTTAGGGTGTAACCAAGAAACAATTACATATGTTGAGTTGGAAGGACGTATAGGAAGACTCAAAAGAGTGTAGAAAGTTAACAACAATGATAAAAAAAAATTATCAGTAATAACATAACAAGGAATACAGACAATGTTGATATATCATTCCAAACATTAAGATAAAAAGATCATTTTACTGTTACCATACAAAACCTCAAAAGTAGCCAATTAGCAATATCAGTTATGTACTGGCTGAAAAAACCAATATCATTAATGTCTAGAGTTTCTCAATCAGAGCATCATTAAATCTGAAAATTAGATTTAAAAACTGACAAAAATTAAGCAAAGTCAAAAACTAGTGGAAATTTGTTAAATTTACAAGTGCATGTGTAACAAAATGGTACAAACAAGACTTTAGACAAAGCTATTGGGCGTAATTCTAGGACTGTTTCTGTTCTCCACTGCAGCAGAACAACAAAAACAACAACGAGAAGACCCATAAGATTCGCATAGCCACACAGTATATTACTCAGTCAGGCCCCAGTAATCAGAGAAGCCAAAGAAAGATCTCCTAACAACAGCTAGATGATCAGGTTTTATAATTGTGAAAAGGTTTTACTTCTTAACAAAGAAGACAATTAGTATGTATTTACTTAACTCTGAGACACAGGAATAGGTAGCAAGAGAAATAGATCTCCAGCTTCTTGAGGCCAGAGCTCTCATAACTGAAACTGAGGATGAATTGAGCACGTGGTGACATACCTGGAATTGCTTGAAATCAGCCCTAACCTCTCTTTCGCAGGCCAATTCAGATAATTTGCTAGCAAAATCTTCTGTCTCTTTTGGATCAATATCAATACAAACAAGCCTCTCCCCACAAGAATGACACACACCATTCTTGTCAACTTGAGTCCTCACTACCTTCCATTTCCCTCTTCCCAGCCACCCCTGTCCATGCCACCCTCCTCCTCCTCGAACAACTCCTTCCTTTATCTCGTTCACATCCCAACTCTCAGCCCCAACCTTCCCAGCAAGACCAGATTTAAACCAATCTTCAATAATTTCAAGCGTTGGTTCTGAGACCTGCCTTATAGATGCTCGCATCCTGTGTAGCATTTCATACACCTTGTCAGCTTTCCTTGTATCAGCACTAACTTTGACAAGGGCAGAAAGCTCAGGTTCTTCCGGTATCACCCCAGATTCAGTCATGTGAGCATCAACTTCATAACATTTATCTGCATTTCCCTCCTTGCAGAAGCCAAATAAAGCTGGCCCATACGACCGGAGTCTTGATGGAATACCAAGACTGTTCATTTGCTTCACCAAATCAAAAGCCATTTCTGGGTCTTCCTTTGCAACGGCCAGTCTAGCCAAGCTCGTAAATGTGGCTTCATTGGGGCAAACTTCATCAACAACCATCTGCTGAAAAATCTCGAAACCCCTTTTCAGACCTAAATTCTTTAACTCATTCACCCCATCCCCATTTTCACTTCCACTCGACTCATCAGATGATGAACCAGAAGACGAACACAAATAAAGCAATATATTGTAATGGTGCTGGCTAAGCGGAACTCCATTACTCCTCGCCTCATCATACAAGGAAAGCGCTTCCACGAGATTACCTCCCTTAGAGCACCTAGATAACTTACCTTTGAGCACGTTTTCTGGCAAGTCTCGCTCTCTCTTCCTTTTGGCTTTGCCGGAAAGCTCAGTCTTATGGTTTTCATTAGCGGGTGATTTCATAGTAGCAGCGGCGGTACAAAGATGGGTTCTTGTGTTAATGGGTAAGTAACTGACACGAATACTACTAACCCTACCGGTTTTGCGAAACAAGTAAGAAGGGAAGTTAAGTAGTCGGCCAAAAGCTGGGCGATAACCATATCGGTGAATTAAAAGCGACGGAATTTTCGCGCACGAAGAGAGTGAAGAAGCAAAAGAATTCACTCGCAGCATCTTCACCCTTTCAAAACAGAGAAATCTACACAAGCCAATGCGCAGGAAGCTGCATGCATTACGGATTTACAGGTGGATTGTGGAAGGCGCTGGAGCTGCTTGATAAAATGCCTCAATGAAAAATTGGGCTTCCCTTAATAACAGAAAGGCATATATATGGGAATTAAACATTTTTAGGTAGAGTGACTCAGGGACTCTGCATCGATTTCTTGAAAGAAAAGAAATTTAGAACAAGAAAATAAGCATCAATCGGATTGAGACGCTTCCCTCCAAGATAACGAAATTAGGGCGGCGAATGGGAATCCTGTTGGCAAGGGTCTTTGTTCTTCAGAAAAACGGTGTCGTGTTGGATTGGTGAAGGGAGAAATCTTCTTTTTTTTTTTTTTGTTTGTTTGCTTGTTTTGTGGAATAAAGGAATAAATCCTTTATTAACAAGAAGAAAATAAAATTCACAAAAAAGAGGAAGAAAATAAATAGATATGTGATTGTACTTTTAATTTTGTATAGTTTGAATAATCAAATTATCAAAAAATCATTAATAAATAAATATAGAGAAGAATTTTATTAAAAAAATTTTAATAACTTTAGTACTCGAATTTCATCAACATAAATTACATGACTTCGTTTAATCACATTTCACCCTTTTTCTTTTTTTAACATCAAAGATTAACTAGGATTTAAACCGAAGATAGCTCAAGTTTGCGAGTTGAAATTCAACTCAAGTTTTTGCCTGCTCAAGTTTGAGCTCGATTTAGGTATGAAACCTCAATAACCCACCACCACAAAAACATTATCTGATTCAGCAGAATCGGTAGGTCACTAGCAAAACCGAAGGAACCAGAACAATTCAGCACAAGCTGCGAAAGCATAAGTGAAATGGAAGATACATAAACAAAGTCATGTAACTAAACGGATCATTAGCACTAATGTCGCAAAACAGATCCAATCCAAGTGCACCACAGAAGGATACATTTATTACCAAAGCACCCTATAAGGCCCCAACATAGTCACTCTAGTTCGGGCTGGGAAAACAGCCGCGATAAAGTCATGAACATCAACAGAGGAAGGAGTGCAAAAACTTAAGCTCAGGCGTCGTCAAGAGCAAGGACTCCTGGGAGAGATTTCCCTTCAAGAAGCTCTAAGCTGGCACCACCACCAGTGGAGATGTGGCTCATCTTGTCGGCGAGCCCCACCTTTTCAACGGCTGCAACAGAGTCACCTCCTCCTATGATTGTTGTTACTCCATTGCCACTGAGCTTTGCAAGCTTCTTGGCAGTTGCCTGCAAGAAAAGATAGCATCCCTCATCTTCCATGCCACCATATAGAAACTAAAGAAAATACTACAAGTCCATGCAGAAGAAGCTGACTGCTACTAAATCACCACCATACAGAATTCATATACCAGACCACAAATCCAAAGTTGTTCACATACCTCAGTTCCTGCTGCAAACTTTTCAAACTCAAACACACCCATAGGTCCATTCCAGATGATGGTCTTGGTTTTTTCCAAAGCTTCACTGAAGGTCTTGATAGAATCAGGTCCAATATCCAAACCCATCCAACCATCAGGGATCTGCGATGCTGGCACAATCTGCAGAAACATTGAATCAAATCTTAAGATGAATATGAATTCATGCAAAATATTAAGAAAAAAATAAAAAATAAAAAATAGTTTCCCAATGGTTATAGCTCCTATTGTGAGGCAAATTTTTCTACTTCCAACCCAACTCCCCAATTATGAAAGTAGGAAAATTATAATATAAGGCATTGAAATAAACCTTGCTGTTAGCATCTGCAGCAAATTTGTCAGCAATAACAACATCAGTAGGAAGCAGGAGAGACACCCCTTTAGCTTTGGCCTTCTCGATTAGTGATATTGCAAGATCAAGCTTGTCTTCCTCAACAAGGGATGATCCAACAGAGTATCCTTGGGCCTTGTAGAAGGTAAAGATCATTCCTCCACCAAGCAAGAGAAAATCAACCTTAGCCAAGAGGGATTCAATGACCCCAATCTTGGTTGATACCTTTGAACCGCCAACAATTGCAGCAAATGGCTTCTTGGGATTTGCCACAGCTCCAACAAGATAGTCAAGTTCCTAAAATCCAAAAACAAGCTAGCAAGTGAGATATTCCTAACATGACATGGAATCTGCTATCTCTACTGTCATAATAGTCAACATGTATCATGAATAAGGACATAGTTCTCAAAGCAACAAACCTTCTGCATAAGAAAACCAGCAACAGAGGGCTTCAAGAACTTGGCCACTCCCTCTGTGGAAGCATGGGCTCTATGAGCAGTACCAAATGCATCATTAACATAGAGATCTGCAAGTGAAGCCAGTTTCTTTGCAAATTCAGGATCATTCTTTTCCTCCTCCTTATAGAACCTCACATTTTCGAGGAGTAAGACACCTCCATTGGGAAGTTCAGCCACCAGTTTCTCTACTTCCACGCCAATACAGTCATTTGCCATCTTAACCTGACGCATTAAAACAAGAAATAGTGAGTAAAGAAAGCTCAGAGGAATTAAAAAAAAAAAAACTCAGCACTAATTTTTAGGACAAACCTCTACTCCAAGGAGTTCAGACAGCCTTGGCACCAGAGGCTTCAAGCTGTACTTAGGTGTCACACCCTTTGGGCGTCCCTGAACCCAGAAAACCCACATAAGTTGCAATTTGAAGCAAAAAGACAGGGAAAAAAAAAACTGCAAAACACACATATTATTGGACAGTAAATTTAAGATACCACGCAAATCAAGCATTCTTTAATCTTTATTAAAAAATATATAAATGAAAACACTGAAGATGGATCTTTGTCAACTACATGCCCTCACACCTCAGCTGATAAATTTACAAGCACTAGATGGAAACACCAAATGTTAACCCACCCACCAACCCTTAATTCTTCCCAACCTTCTGGGCTAACAGGGTGTGTAATGATCTATGCCAAAAATTCAACATCATAAATTCAACCTAATACCCCAGATGGTCTAGATTAACAGTTATCTGGAATTCAGTAATTCCTTCATAGAATCCTTTTACTAATTCATGTCTACGGGTAACTTCAACACGGAACAACAACACAATATCTGATTACACAAAAAGAGAAGACATGCAGCAACATTGCACAGACCAGGAACTGTAACTACAAAACAAGGAAACTGCCATGTTCTATTTGTGTGATAGCATATCCATCCCAAGTTCAAATAAAACCTCTAGGACTGAAGCATATTCCGAGGCAGTTTAAGCAACTAATCCATCCACTAAGACAAAAGTTTATCAAACCGATGAAAAACATCAAAAGAAAATATCATTTTTATTTCCAATTAAAAATAAAAACTGGATCTAGTAATCTCAACATTGTTATGGGTTGGTATTTCTACCAGCAATAAATTCTTACATGGGGTAATTTAGACTAATTCAGTGACGTCAGTGATAAGCTGAGTGTCTAAGCTGCATGCACTGAACTGTTTTCAAAATTAGAACAAAAATAAAAAAATAAAAACTTTAACAAAATTAGAAGTTCATAAGACCATAAATTGCTGTTAATCTAGGAAAAAAAAAAAGTTGTTGAAACATTCAAATGAACGTGCATCGATCCATTTCATGTTAATCTAAACAGAGTCGAATAAAACAAGTTTCTGAACAACTTAATCCTTGTAGAAAGGTCAAAGCTACGAGTTATCCAGCAGATCAGACCATGACAGAGGAAAATAACATTCAAAAAAAGCAAACCCAGAAAGATTAAACTTAAATCACACAGACCCAGTAATCTTTAATGGATCAAAGAATCTAGATATAATTACCAAGTGACTAGAGAGGATGACTCTCGCGCCGTAACCCATCAAGTACTTGATGGTGGGCACAGCAGCGCGGACTCTGGTGTCATCGGTGATATTGAAGTTATCATCCAAAGGAACGTTGAGATCAACCCTCACGAACACCCTTTTCCCTTTCAAATCAGCTTCCTTCAAGTCACCAACACTCCTCTTGGTTGCCATCACTACACAAAAAAACACTATACCCAGGAAGAAAAACTCGATTAAAATACAAATCAAAAGCGAGTTCAGGGATATAGGGTATTCTGGGATTTGAGAAAACTTACAGTAACGAGACTGGTCGAGAAAAGGGTTTTGTTTGGTTGTTAGGAAAGAGCAGAAGAGAGCGAAAGTTTGGGTGGAAAGTTAGAGAAGGGTCTATAACAAATAGCGAAGGTTTAGACTTTTAGTGGTTTTTCTCTTTCCTGTTGTTCAAGTTGGGCTTTCTATGGGCTGGGAGAAAACCCTGGGGTGGGGTTTATGATTCTGGTTTATGCCATGGTTTTTGCCGGTCTTTCTTTTCTCATTGGTCTTTTATTTTTACACTAATTATGAGGTTTTTTTTTTCTTTTCTGGTTGCATTTTCGCAACTCTCTCCTATCTTTTATTACATCTTATTCATATGTTATATAATTCAAATTTAAAATTTTTTATTTTTAGTAAAAAAAATTATCATTAAATCATTTAACTCGTTGGTAAAATTATGAGATATTATTGAATAAATAATTATATATAATATCATAATAAATTATAAAATAAAAAAATTCAATCATATTATGATATGTTATTAATATGTTATATAATTCAAATTTAAAATTTTTTAT